GCCCACCGACGGGTATACCGAAACCCGGTTTCTAGCGTTGTAAGTCCGCAGACATACCGCTGTGCCACTGGGGGGGCTCTATTAGGAAGGACATATAACAATTAAGTAGTGCGTTTTATATACAGTTAAGATTTAAAAATTTTCATGATGAGTTTCAAATTTAAAGACAACCAACTATACATAACAAACCATAAAGATTTAAGTGAGATAACTAGCAGACTAGCATGATATTATTATAAAGGCTATTCTCGCGCAATCGAAGATGCAAAGTAAAAAAAAGAGAAATTGTATGTTGTAATTTGTACTGTAGCAGTAAACAATAGGCCTACATGTAACATAGTGTAGTTAATCTGTATGCATACGATATCTTCTGCAGTGCAGTATCACAATCGTTTGCTGTGAAATAAAATTAAAAAACAAAGTAGTAGAGGTAAGCAGGTTATTCCTCTTTTCTTAGCCTACTTTCTAAATTCTAGTAAGTACTATTTGAGATGACACTTGGTCAGTAGCCTGTGTTTCTTTTTGAGACTAAATAGTAAATATAAAATTTAGTAATTAGGTTTTAATTTCGAGTGTCTGTGCCACAGTGACGTTGTTCTAACTAGTACTAGTAGCATCGTTGTTCAGATAATGATTTTGACTTTTAGTTTAGGTAAAAGAACCAATACCTAAAGAGTTCTCGGACAATAACTTAACAAACATTGCACAATTATAGACCCATTTTGTAAAGCAAGCTTAATTAATGTAAGTGTAATAGTACTAGTAATATTGAATCTATTATTGTTTCAATTTTTGGAGCTAATTTTTACTCATTTTAAGTTTTTAACTTCAACCTTTTTTCTTTGATATTTTGTGATTTTCTAATTTGCATGTGATACAAAAAAAAAAAAGAATTTAATGTTTCTTAAAAAATTATATAGCTTCCCAGCAGTACGTAATGCTACAAGTCTGTTAAATTAGTTAATTTTAAAGGGATAACAGAGTTCCCTTGAAAGTTATAGACCAGTTAGGACAACCGGTTTTACTTTTACTTTTAGTGATGAACATTCTCGAGAAACTAATTTTACAAAATCATTTAGTGAAATATGAAAACAGAGCTAACATTAATTCACAAAAGGGAAATATTGTGTTATTAATCTGTTAACTTTTTTTTTTAGGTGTACCTGATGATGAAGTTAGTGATCTTGGTGTACTTATATTTGTCAGATTA